GGAACTGTTGTTGTCGTTACCAGTGTTGTTGTTTCAGTTGGTGTGGTAATTGTGGTTGTTTCCTCTGTAGTTGTAAGTATTTCGATGGTTGTTGATGGTGCCATCGTTGTTGTTGTCATTCCTACTGTCATCTCTTCTGACGTCCTTCCAGTTGGCGATGCAACAAAGATAGTTGATTCTTCAGTAGTCGTATGCAATTCAGTGGTTGTTATGGGAACTGTTGTTGTCGTTACCAGTGTTGTTGGTTCAGTTGGTGTGGTAATTGTGGTTGTTTCCTCTGTAGTTGTAAGTATTTCGATGGTTGTTGATGGTATCATCGTTGTTGTTACTTCTATTGTCGTCTCTTGTGACGTCCTTTCAGTTGGCGGGGCAACAGAGATAGTTGATTCTTCAGTAGTCGTATGCAATTCAGTGGTTGTTATGGGAACTGTTGTTGTCGTTACCAGTGTTGTTGTTTCAGTTGGTGTGGTAATTGTGGTTGTTTCCAATGTAGTTGTAAGTATTTCGGTGGTTGTTGCTGGTATGAAAATTATTTGTGTTGTCGTTGTAGTTAAAATTGTTGTTTCTCCTGTTGTAAGTGTTTTGGTGATTGATGGCGGATCGATCGTTGTTGTTGCTGTTGTTTTTTTTACTGTTGTTGCCGCTGGTGTGGTGTTGGTGGTACTTGTTTTAGGTGTAATCGTAGTTGTTTCGCTTACTGTCTCTAATAGTGGTTCTCGAATTATCATTGCTGTTGTTGAAGTAACTTCTGACGGTGTTTTTTCCTTTACAGTGGAATATGTTTCAGTTGTTGTCGTTGGAACCATTGTGGTTGTTGTTATTTCTAATGTGGTTTTGCCGTTCGGTGGATCTGTTGTTGTTGTAATCGTATTTGTTTTTTCTACATTGGTGCTATATTCCTGCGGTAATGATGACGCAGTTTCACCTTGATTTGTACTGTATTGTTGAGTCGCCTCAGTGGTTCGTTCTCCTATTGGCATAATGTATTGAGGCAACACAGTGGTGCTACTCTGTTGATCTATCCAACTCAAAGTTGTTCCGAGCAAATCCATTTTTTGCAAATAGTCAGTGTTGTAGGTCAATTGTGATTCAATGTTTGAATCGTGTGGCGTGACAAGTAATTGAATTATATCTGCGTATGCAGTTCTCTCCTGTTTGCGATCCGTTACGTTATTTTTTCTTTTACTTAATGTTTCCCCAACATGTCGTTTTCTTCTTTTTATTATGGACTTGGTTGTTTGTTCGGTAGTTAAATCCAAAAATCTTACTGTTCTGGGAAATTGTAATAAAGTTGTCGTGTAATTAACTATATCATCTTTCCGTATGAAATGCGATAATTTTAATAATTTCGCAAGTAAACAACTATTATTCCATAACTCCAATTGTTGAAAACTCTTGTTTACTAAAATGTTTCGATTTGGTCTTCTCTTCTTACTACGAAAAAATAAATTAGCTGATCTTCTTGCTCTTTTTGATTTACGCCGATTATACCTTAAATTGGACTTATAATTAACTGTTATCGATTTTAAATTCCTGACGAGTCGGTGATGCGGTTTGTCATAGGTATGAATAGATGGAAAATCGAAGCAAGAATGAAGATGATCATAATCTGTAAAAGGATAAGGATAACTGACTTCGTGATCCTTGGACGGAACACTATTTTTCGAAGAGAAACGTGCCTCTTCGGTATTAAGATTTCTCTCATTATTGTTAAAACAGTTTCTTTTTACTGAAACATTATTCTCTGTATTCATCTTCGTCTGCCAATCTTCAAGAATTGCGGACAAATTAGTGTTTCCCAAACTTATTTTACTACGTATTATTGTCAATTTTTTACGTTTTAAAAAATTATTCTCTTTCAATTTTATCGTTATTGCCCCGGTATAAAAATAAGCACTCTGTAATACACAGCGTTACTTAGTAATTGGTTATAAATGGTTATCATCATTACTGTAATGTTTCCATCAATGTTAAAACATATTTCTATTAAATATACCATCAATGGTAGTGCTCACTAATTATTATCTATCATTGCTACTTACAGTGGTATTTTTCGCTACGATATTATCGATACTGTTACAGTGCATATAATTACTGTCAGTGCCCTCACCAGTATTAACAGTTACAATAACATAATCTATTATTATTACCGTGTATATCACAATTAACATACAAATCACAATAACGAATATATTTTGCATAGCGTCATATCACAGAATGGTCGTAAGTATTGTCGCATTTTTTCAACACATGTTTGTCAACCCTATTTCGAATCATCGTGTCAAAGGAACTGTCACGCTGAGACAATTCCCTTTTCTCGCTGTTCGGTCGACATGTTAATCATCGATAAATGATCCGCGTATACTTTAACGCAAATCACTATCGATACAATTCTAAACAATCTGACGCTTTTAACATCGTGACGTTCAACTTCATGTTCATGAAAACCGTAAAGGTTACCGATGTCACAAAATTAAAATTCTTATTTTTTTTTTAATTAAAGTGATTACGACTACGTAAGAAGTTACAAGCAGCATTTATATATCTTTCCTTTATTTAGAACAACGATGCTATGTTATTGGAGTCTGTTTTATCCTGTTCGTATTTGTTACTGACTTGTGGCAGCTGCATTTATACACTGATAAAACACTCTTACGATCAATACCATAAACTTCTTCCGCACGTTTTATGTGCCTGCAACGGTATTGTGATGATCGGCGCAAGGTCATTATTTGTTCTTGTGTATAAACTATTTTTTAAGGAATATGGTAAGTAATAGTATAAAGAAGATTTCTTTAACTATGCTAGCTTGGAGAGAAAGAATTAATATATATATATTTATATGTATATATTATCTTTGTATATACTTTTTTAAACATTTTGAAAATTATTGTAGATATAAAATAGTTATTGAAGCGATAATATAATATTATAAATAATTATGATAGGTTATGGTTTTCATTCAAATAAAAAAATATTTAACAGTTTACTTATAAATATTACTCTATTAGTAAAAAGAAAAAAATATTAATAACAGTAGGTATATTTGGGTACTATTGGAAAAATTTCGGAAAAACGTTTATCTCTGTCTATGCTAAAAAATTCCAAGTGGTATGAACACTTTTTCCGTGCATGCAGTAGAATATGAGCATACCATGAATTGCATAGCGCGATCCAATAAAATGCCATTCTCCAACAAAAAATCTAAACAGCGCGATCGCGATTCGTAGTAATCGGGTTTTTACCTTAAAAAACTAAAATGTAGATGAAAACAGAATAAAATAGTTCGATACTTCTACTAAAGTTCCCTAAAAACCTTCAGATTTGAAAAAAGAAACTGGATTTTTCAGCTTATTGAAGTTCCTTTCTTAAAGACGAAACTTTATTTTCCAGCTTTTGACCCAGTCATTATAGAGTTCGAAGAAAAGAAGAACAAAGGAAAATGTAATATGTTAGACGAGATTCTCGGCACTCTTGGTGTAACTAGTTTAATATATTCTTCGTACTGTCATCATAAGTATTACGTTCTTGGTGCATGTATTATAACTAGTTTCACAATTCTCGATGTGGTCCAATTATCTCGGACGAGAACGACACAATTACAAGTATGATATAATTTTGATAATATGTTTGAATACTATTAGTCATTAATTATTAAAAACTAGCCTATATTTTTTATTTAATATAACAAATAATATCAAGATTAATGAAGGTCATTTAATATCACCAGACCTTAAGAATAATGAAATGACTCATTAAAAAACAGTTGTGTATGCAAATTCTCATGACAAAACGTCTAAATGAACCTTCCAGATGATTTATAATGATTTCGAATTTGATAACGATAACTAAATATTCTGTTGCACGACTCGTAAAACAAATAACGTTACAACTATTGTTCTATTAATAGAAAATTACGACACGGAAGCAGTAAATAAGCTAAAAAGTATTAATAAATATTGTTAGCAAAGATGATGCTTTTGTTCTTCCAGGAATTGGATACTCTGCAACTGAATATTAATTCTTCTCAAATAATGCATATGTCAAGAACTACTATACTTATCGAGGTTCTTGTCAGTGGACATTTTGCGTAATTATGACTATTGAAAATTTTTAAATAATTCTTTATAGTTTTGTATTTAAAATTGTTTAGAATATATTCACCTTCGTTTTAGATATTTAGTAGGTAATAGTTATGCACTTATGGCTACGTATCCATACTTCTTAACAACCTGGGCCCTAACGCCGGAGGGATTTTATCAGACTTGGACAATAGAGCGAACGATCAATGATTACATGATGATGGCATACGTAGTATGTATGGCGGAAGCACTTCGACAAATATCTAGACCATGAAAGTTTCTCCTAAATTTACAAATATATTGAATACTACATTGAAACAAAATATATTGTTAAAAAAGTTCTCTTTGAAAAGTAAAAAATGGAGTATATAAAGGGTGTTTAATTTTCTCCGAGCCGTTATAATGAGTATATTCACTGAACAAAAATAAGACACAATATAGATAACATAGATTATTTGAGGTTCTATTAAACGTAAGAACGAAGGAAACAACGCCCTTACGGTAACTGTGATACAAAATAGGAATATAGAGAGAATCTTAAATACAAAGCATATCAACGGTATTTACATTCAGTCTGTTTGTGCAAGGCTTGTTTGATATGTGCAATCGTTTAAGATATATTCCTAGTACATATCCTGTTAAATTAATAAACAACTAATTAAACATTTAACTAAAAACAATATTATATATCCTATATAATGAATATTCTTCATAAACAATGTATTATTATACCATAAACGAACACATTTTCTAATAAATATTCTGTCGATGCATTCATATTTTTGTTTACTATTAAACAAAATTATAGTATAAGCTTTAATAATTAAAATATGAATTGCTATAATATCTGAAATTATAATAACTCATTATAATATTACAACCTTTTCTGTTGTACTTAAAATAGACAGGAAACTTTTCCTCGCTCACCTTTAGTAATTGATTAACGTTCATTTAATCAAATACAGAATAATTAACTTCGATTTTAATGTAATATTATACGTAACAGCCAGTTTCACAGAACCAAATCCATTTCTTCTTGAAACTCCTAATTAGAGTATAAAAGTTCATTCAAATATTTATGGAGAAATTTAATGAAGTTTTAATTAAAAAATGTATTCATTTACTTAACGGTTCATGCTAACAAATTAAAAGTAATATGGTGCTATATTAAATTTCATTCAATCTTCTACTCCACAATTTTCTAGAGATTTGTATTACATTATCCGCGAGAAAAATTACAAAATAATAACGAAGAACTTTTTTAATAAAGAATGACATCCTTATTTTAACTAATATTTGGTCATTTCAATTTCAATCATTTATTTCAACACTCAGAAGGAAATCCGTGGAAGGGAGAAAGTTTCTAATCCGAAGAAATAAACTTGCTGGTGAATGTTGATCGCTCGAACTTTATTCCATTTACAATCAATGAAATTTTTCCATAGCTCGCTATACACATACGTTCGCGAATATATACAAAAGAGGTCTGTCGATTAAATATATAACAGCGGTATCACGTTTAGGGGAGCAAAAGAGGAATGTAAGCGTCGTCGCTGCGATAATTGTCGCACATAAGTGATAGCGCGTTCTCGCTAATACGATACGAGTTAACAACGGTATTACGTTAAATTATCGTCTACAATAATTATCCTATTCAACCGTGGACTCTCCTAACGATAGTTGTCCTACGAAATATTGCTACTCACCGGTCAGTTCATTTATTCTTAAATATCTAGTCACAAGTGAAAAAAAAAACATAGTCGTTCCTTATTCAGGACTGTCTATAAGCGTTTCGAATTTCATTTAATTGGAGACGTATAGGTGTTCACCAAGTTGTTTTCACTTACTTTTTTTCTGTTACTTCTCACGGTATTTTTATTATGGAAAGGGTTTAAAGACAGTCCCGTACCATTCACTCCATCATAAATTATTCTACACGAAGGCAGTCTTTTTCATACGTTTCTATCCATTCTTACATCATACGTTATCAGATTAACGAATAATTGCTATAGGAGGCGCTGAACCGTAAAAAGATAATATCTTTCGGAATTCCACTATCGTCAGCGTAACCAAGCAAAACTGTAACTATGAACGCCTGTCCCTCCAATTCACGCTGCATAATGAAGACCTCGCGTAGTCACGCTCCATCTGAAACATCAACAATTTGTTGTGTCGTTGGAAAACTTCTTCGAATCGTAGTTATTATAATTCATACATCATCGTTTCCTTATAAGAAAAAATTATATAAAAATATTGAGAAACAGGAATATTTTTCTACTTCCATTAATAATATTAACATTTCATAAATAATAATTTCATAAATATTAACTCTTAACAGTCTATAATTTTTTAATAATATTTCTCTTCAGTTTAAAAGCATCAAAATATTGGCTAAATGTAAAGAGAACATTGGGAGGATTTATAATAAAATAGATATAACGCATGTAGAATAATATAGTAAAATAGAAAACGTATCTCTAACTGCAGTAACAAATAAAAATGGAAACAAAATTTTGTACGATTCCATATAGCTTGCGTGAAACGTTCCGACTGTTAAAAATTAATATTATCAAATGTATATGTAACAATACTATTATAATGCTTTAAAATTCCGAATTCCGTTCGAATAGTTATGCAATATATACACAGAATCAGAATGATAAATAGTGTGGTGTATGACATGGTATGGCAAGGCCGAGGCTATACACAAGCTGATGTATACAAATCAGTTTACTATTCTGCTTCATCGCGTTCACTGGCGTAATACGCCGTTTCTACCACTTCTCATCAATACACCATGCCACTTGCTACTTCAATGTCCGTTTCACTGTATTTATAGGTTCCTGGCCGAGCACACCTTCCAAGAGGATGTAAGAATAGAAATCCGATGACTGAAAGTCGAATGTCTATAAAACCTCACTGGTAGTATGCATATTCTTTCTAAGAATAAGCCACACGAGAATATGAAATGTCGAATAGGAATGATCGTTCGGTGGAAACAGGATCCACTTTAATATTTTATTCATACGGTATTTCTAGCGGCAAACAGAAATTGCAAATAAAGTTCTAAAAGTACTCCGATGAGCTTGTAAAATAATAACTCGAATTTGAACATGATATAATACGCGTAAAGGGATTTAAACAGATTATTCGTTTGCTTTAATAAATAAAATAATAATTGTGGTAGTGGTAGAAAATAATGAATTTCTTTAGAGAAAGTAATGAGTTTGTAGTGTAATGATAATTGAAAAGCTTGCAGATGATCTGTGTAAACGGTGAATTAAAAGACTAATCTGGAAGGTGAAATAACGAAATTCGGATAGAGGAATAATAATTGTAATAACGGACGAGGAATAATAATTGTAATAGCGAATAATGAATTTCTAAAAGGAAAGTAATAAATATGTAATGTAATAGTGATTCAAAAGTTTACGGATAAACGACGCAGAAATCCAATAAAAAAATATAAAGTGGAACGCGAAATAACGAAATTCAAATTCGCCAAGGAGATCCGTCGTCTCACGGGGTCACTGGAGCGATACATCATTCTTCCATATTCATCTTCAATATTTTCGCCCTTTAGAAAAATATGAACCCATTTATGATTAACAATGTTTAGACTGTTATCCTTCCTTTCAGACCACTATTATGAAAGAATCAATGATACCTTGAATTTAAATATACAAAAATATTTTTGTTATCTTTAAAAATATTCACTGATTCACTGAACATTTAAAATTTCATATAAAGGTAATGCATTTTCATTTCTCATTTATTACTTTTGAGAATGTTACTTTAAAAATCAGTGTCGTTTTAGAAAATGAGAAATAGATTGCACGAACCTAATACATATTCCGATATACATACATTCATGTGATGGCTTCGCGTCAGATGTTGGTATTGGCCTCTCTCCACGTGCTTTGACCCAAATTGTGAAGTCTGAGACTGCTTCCAGTGTTATCGTCCGGTTCGTAAGCGGAATTCGTGTGTCCAGCGTGACCCTCGAACACATCTTTCACGGAAATCTGACTACTTCTTGACGGGCGACCTTGAATGCCTAAAGGATTCCCAGCCACCCCGTAAATATTGTTTGCTCCCAGAGTCTGCATCTGCGACTTCCGTCTCATCGCGATTATGCTGTTTCTACGGCCCTCGAACGCTTTGAAAGCTTTTGCTGATCGCCTCGTTGACATGTTCCTTGGCAGGCCTAAATAATAATATTAACAAAAACATTTGTTTACTGAAATTTAGAAACAAACAAGTATAATTCTAAAAATTATTACGTGAATTGATGTGACGTGAAAATTATAACGCGAATATATATTTTAATTGTCCATTTTTAAACCCCTAATTTCCAAGACCTAAATGAACATCAATTTCTGTAGAAACAATAGAATAAACTATACAACAAATATCCGTAAACCTAGTGTTAAACCTATGTTTCTTTTAGTGAGTCGAATGTATGCAATAATAATTCTTTAATGAACATTTCATTTTTTAACAAATCAAGGGTGAATGTTTGTACAGTCTAGATAAGGAAATTCAACAATGTATTCAAAAAATGACCTTCAATTGCCCTTGAAACAAAAATGTTGTGTTTCTGTCCGCATAAATATAAATAAAAATTTGTTTATAAGTTTATAAACTACATTATAGGTTACAAGGAAAACTAATTATATAAGAAAACATTGTATAAGTTTTAATTAAGTAAAGCTCTCGCGAAGGTGAACGAACACTGATAACATTCTTCGTAACAGAAACTACATTATTAAAACTAGTACTACAAAGGTGTGTTAATATCTTGTATAACTTTTTACATACCGTTCCCTTCAGACTGGAAGAATCGTCGTCTGAAAGCGACATCGAGCGTATTGATTGCCTGCGTTTTTCTTCGACTCTTCTCGAGGTTTCTTATAGTCTTCCTTCTGCCAGGACCGCTGCCGCTGCCTTCTTCATAATCGCCCTCCATTCCGTCTAATCTTTGTAGATCCCTGACTATTTCCACTGCATGTTTCGATAGTAACGCTTCCTCCGACAGATCCTTAGTCTATTGTAGTAAGTAGAAAATGATTTATAATTAATTGTATTCCGGTATATACACGGTGCAACTGAAAACATGGCGCAAGCCTGGAAAAGCTGATAAGGGAAACCATGACGAATCGAAACAAGAATCCAGTCTACATTTGTTACATCAACTATATTCCTCATTCCTTGTTTCTAACTTTGAAAAAAAAAATTTTTAATTCTTTTCTACTTTTTATTACTAATGTTTAAGTACTTTTATTTCTTCGCTGTCAAAAAGGAGACTATCTCGTTTCGGTTTATTCTAGCTTTCACTTTGGCTGCGTCATCCAAATTCTTGTGACAGAATTTTTTGAAAATAATTATGAAAATTGATTTTAGAAATAGTTATAAAAATTCATTGAACGAACACATTGTATAATACATACGTAGAGCATAGATATCTCATAGGAGATGCAAGAAGGCTTATAGAACAATCACTGATAACAAATCTCGACTTGCCAGTTTCTGTTTCATTAAGAAAACGATTACGTGTTTGTGTCGTATTGTTTCTGTATGTGATTTTGGTGAGCGATGATCTGGCAATGAACGTGTTACGACAACACAATACAAAACGTGGAAACTTGTATCATATTTCAGTTGCACCCCGTATAAATTGAGCTGTCGGTAACACGTACCTTCTTACAACAGTACCAATCCAGACTGGTGCTGGCCAAGATATGGGCGAACGTGCCAAATCGATGGAACAACATCGCGGTGAATTGAATAACCAATATCAGCGCGAAGAAGAATACGAACACCAAACCGATCGGCTCCAACTGTAGGTATTCTTTTGTGATATGTACCTATGAAACGGAGTCCATTGTTAGGAGACATTGACGAATGAGTTGGGTCCAACTTAAAAGGTAAACAGAGAAGAAAGACAGAGAACACATAAAACTGTTCGCTCGGCGGTCATTAATCGTTGCGTATTTCATTGCTGTTTCGTCGTTATTTCATTTACTCGACAATATCGTACGCTGTTATTTACTGTATACCTAAGTACTTAAACGAATATTGACAGATAGACGTTTACAAAATATTTCGTGCGGAACGCACACCTTTGAACACGCGTGCAATGAAATAAACAATATTTTCCTCCTCGCACGAACTGTAGCATGAAACGATATTTTACAATAGTTTAGAATTTGTAAATTATCGTTTCCTCGAATATGATTTAAATCGAGTACGATTAATTGATTGTATTATTGTTCCCATGAATTGTTCGAGCGAAGAGGACACCGCACGGAATACAGTATTCTGAAACACATAGAATCGAGTAAGCCACCGTTTAGTTACATCGATGGTAACTCCGTTAGTGGTGCTCCTCTGCTGTCATACCTAGCAGTGCATTAACAGAATTAGACACATAAGAACGTGAAACGGAAACCTGCGTGACGATTCTCCCTCCTTCGTATTCAGGCAAGTGAGCGGAGAACGGGACAGGGTTTCGTGATGTCTTTCGTTTTCGTCTCTCCCGTGACCCGTATACCGTACACGTGCTTCCACGAAACGAAAAATAGAATGAAAATTCTCGATATTGAATTTTTGAAATTGCTGGGCCACGAGCGAGCTGAGGAATTTCGAAGTTTAGAGAACGAGCGTTTAAAGGGAAATGCATAATTGATTTTCAATGTTTCAATTTGTTAATTTAAAAATTTCTTTTACATTATTATTAAATCAAATATTCGCTTTAATTTCTATTATTCTATTTCCGTTCATTAAATTCCCATAATTCGCAGCTAAACTAAAATTTTTATACAATATTTAAACTCATCTATTTATTCCTATTGTAATTTTAAATATGATACAATATCTTTGAAGACTGTATTTACTGCTATATTCTCTTTTTTAAATATTTATTCAAAATTTCTTTCATATATACTTCAACCAAAACCACACTATTATCTATAGTTAATGTTTCTGGAGTAAAATTTAGATACTGATGTATCAGTTTTGTATTCCATGCTTGATCTCTAAACCTGCTCTAATTAATGTTAGTTGAGGCGAAGATCCTATGAGTAATCACATTAAAATTGTCGCCACACTAAGAACAAAGAGACAAAGGACGGGGATGGTACGAGAATTCTTAATTAGAAAGGTGGCGATGTTATTTGTGACTTAGCCAACTAGTTTCTAGCCAGATGCTTGGTTCCACCCCGTACTCCATTCGTTCCAAGAATACCTGTGCAAACATGTTAATGGTAATTTGCCACGTGCCGATGATCCACGTTATTGACAAAACACAGACATGTCCCAGCAAGTGCAAGATTATCACCGGGTACCATTATCCGATGTGCTCCGATTCTCACTGCAGTGCGGTGTATTAAATATGTCAACGCGCATTATCAGTGCACATTTCATGTTCAAATGGAATATTAACACGTTTAGTCCCTTGCCGAATATTGTACATAGAAGTGAAAATAAATCTACTATTAATACCAACACTGCTTATCAACACGCTCGTGACCACGTCAATGGCCGACAAGTATTATCAAAATAGTAAGGATAAGACTACAAAATAAAATATATTTACACAACCATGTTATTGACTAAGAAATAAAGATTCTATGAAGAAAATATTACTGTTTTTAAAAATATTAATAATTAATACTAAATATTAAGTTTAATAAGAAATATCAAATATTAATTGTAAAACTTAATATTGTTTGTAATCGATTAATTGTTAAAAACGTATATTCACAAAAATATCAGTATTTTGATAGCTAAAACAATATTGTATCAAATATAGCAATGCAACAGCTATGAAACCGTGGTAAAAACTTGTAAATTTGATATTTACTGAATTTATCTCTATGAATTTATCTCTGCTACCTAGTATATTCTATTTAAATCGATTACTGTTAAGAAAAAACAGTAGCAAAACGATAAATAAAAGATAAGTAGAGAGTTTAGCGTGAGCAACGGAGCACACGGGTGTGTTAGTCTCCCGAGGCATCAGTGAGACAGCATCTCTGTTTCTCAATTCCCTCTTTCTTTTCTTTTCCTTCTTTTTTTTTTGGAAATACCAGGTACCTCCGAGGTCTCTTCGATGTAGGTGATATTGGTCTTGACGCCGAGCGGCCATATAACATGTAGCTGATCTTTGTTCAGCTGTAGCAAGAATACGATCAGAACGAACAACGCATTGAACATAAAAAACGCAAATACGCTCTTGTTCCGCAGCTCGATCAAGTCGCTGGCAATGCGAGCCTGTTGTGGGCCAAGCGAGAAGAAACAGAACAGAAACAAACAGATTAGAAAATATGTTGAAATATACGCTCCGTCCATTCGGTCGTTGATCCTTGAACTCCTTACGGGGATATCCTCTCCGAAATCATAGGCTCGGACCGCTTTTACCATCTAAATCATTCGAACGCAGTGGAAGAGAAGAGTAAAGTGCAAAACAATTGAAATACTGTAATTTTCCTCTTAAAACGTTTGGCCTCCTTTGATCTTTCGATTGTTTTTTTCGAAACACGGAAAAACGTTTGCGCGTCGTCGTATTCGTAGAAATTTTAATAAATACGTTAAATTGTTTGATAAAAATAAATACGTTAAATTAAATTAAATACATTCCGTTTGTTTACGTTGGAAGTTTATGAGCATTTTAAGTGTTTTGCTGGAAACATTGAATACGGTCGTCGAAAGTCCTGTCGACAGTGTGATTCAGGGGATGACGTTTAAAGAGTAGGATAACGCGTCATGGACAGAGCGGTCTTTACCTCCTGAGAATTTTCGTCATAGCTGATGTTCGTCTTGATGCCGAATGGCCACTTCACGTGCAACAAGTCTTTGTTTAATTGCAGCAGAAACACGATCAGTACGAAGAGGGCATTCAGCATAAAAAACGCGAACACGCTCTGGTCACGTAGATCCTTTAAATCTTTGGCGATTCGTTCCTGGTGTAAGCAGCATTGGTCGATTATTCTTCTACCTCGTTATATTAGCCGGTATACTTTTCCCCTTTTCAATTTCTAACCATTTCATATTATCACGACAAACATTTTCTGCTATGATCAAATATTTTGTATCTTGAAATACTTTGCCAGAAATGATTTAATTTGGCAATTAGAAAACGTGAAAACTGAGAAGAATAAGGCGAACAATTCATTTTGAATTCGATTTAACTAATTGGGGATAATCACTGAATAGGTCGAAATATAGTTTCGAAGTTGACGATCCGAATCTGAGAACTAGTTTGCTAACAATTTACGACATCTATGAAACATTATTTAATTAAACATTGAATATTATTAAACGGGTAATACTAGGGAAATAGAAATACGTTGATATTTTTGATTTTTCTTGCATATGAATCGTTTCATTTAATACGCGACTAATTTAAAATTGTAAAAAGATAGAATTACTACTTCTTTAAGATCTACGAAAGAAGCTGCCTTTACGAAACCAATTTTAAAATAAAAAATTTTTAATTGAAGCTACAGGCTAAAAAATGTTACTAATATAAAACAATGCATTTGAAAAAAGTCAAATACTAATTTGCATAATTTCAGACTGTACAAAAAAAACTGATTTTAAATAATTGTTATATGGATATTAATTATAGAAATTTAATGGAAACAAGTTTGAGCAAAGGGTATACCTTTTCCGCTTTGTCTTCGTCGATAGGATACAGATACTTCTCCAGGAGATCCTTCCAGAATTGTTCTTCCTGGAGAGACAATACGTCAATTTCACCCTTTTTCAATCCGTCGTCGCTCAGCCAGTACGGCCGGCTAGGGAAATGGCTCTCTCGGTTTCCTTCCGTATTCTGACTAGTCACAGTTTCAGTATCGCTTTGGCATTCTTGATCTTCCCCAGGATCCTCGGTGACGACACGGAGGTGGGGATCAGCAGTCCGTGAACCCACTGATGAAGCTCGCCTTCGGCTATTTGCCTGTCCATGTGGATCCACAGCTCTACCAAATGAATGAAATGAAAGGAAATGGAAAAGGGCTTATACAATGGCATCCAGTAAATTCAAAAAAATTTATCACATATACCTATGAATTATAAGAAAAATGTTACATTGGTTAATTTAAAGAATATAATGTCCCCTCAATGATCACTTAAGTATATCAGTCTAGAAATAAATGAAACTGAAATCCTATATTTTAAATGTCCAAAGTTAGTTCTAATATTGTCGTGTAAAACAATTATTTGATGCATTAAAACCTTCGAAGACTTAGAAGTATAACTACTACTTAGACTTAGAAAAATAATTATTGCAGCTAAAGAGGAGAAAAATTTATACTCAGTCATGTACTCTTTGTAATTCATAAAATTCATTCGCCGAGAAGGTATAAATTAAATAAATGTAACTAATCATTTGTAAAAATTTCTTTCTCTGTAATTTAAAATCATTTTATAGTGGCTTGAAAATAGAGAAACCCAATCTCTTCATTTATCTCAATCGGCAAAATAAATTCCACGGGCAAACTGTGGTTGATGAGACAGGCGTAACGACAAAAGAAGGGATGGAGCTAGAGGATCGTTCATTTCGTCCCAAACGTGCTGATAGGCTCATCAGTGAAATTGCCTAATCCGGCGAATACCTCTAGATTTCACGGTAGAACTAAACTTTACCTTAGGGACAGAAATGTTCGGTAGGAAAGAGAAAAATTATTCGGAGGTAACATTAAGAATTAGCAACGATATTCAAGAAATATCTAACAGTACGTTTGCTAATGACTGTCAAATAATTCATTAAATTTGAAATTTTAATAAGGATATCAAATAAAGAAGAGAAAATTCTGTAGATGCAATGCAAAAAAAGTACTTAACTTGAGCTGTGATAAAATATGTTTAACAATTTAATTAATAGGACTTTAGTAAATATTTAATACAATTATCCTTTTTAAAACTCTTTTAAAAATCTAAAATTGGGATTAAACAAAAATTGAAATCAGCGAACCTCTCGATGACTTCCAATCGTTTTCCAAGCCCTTCCAATGATTCTGCAATGGTGACCAACTGTTGTTTTTCATTCGATGTTTGGCCGTGTGTGCAAAACATGCATTTAAATAGTCCCGCTAAAGAGATCTCTATCGATCCTTCTTCATCATCGTTTGAACCGACGCCATTTTGTAGAAATCCTAATAAGGATTTTTGTTTTGCTTTCCGTTTCGCTTCTTCAGCCTCCTTTTTCTCTTGTTCAAGTTCCTATTGATTTAACAAAGAAATTATGAAACTATGCTGCAATTATATAAAAAGTTTCAGGTACTTTCTACCCCCAAGTGCGAAGCTCTTGTTGTTAGAAAGCTGTGAAGACGACACTCATATTTTACATGCTATTAACTTATCAAGAGTGCTCTTATTAAAAGTATCTATGAACAATTCACTATTTGTTTACTGTTACTAAGATTCATTAATATTATTCATAATTCTACCCTATCATTGTACGCCATCATTATTAACTAACTACGAAAAAGTATACTGGATATATAGAATTTAAAAGTAGTCTAATATTATTGAATAAACAGTGAATTACTTATTGATACTATTAACAATTCGCTATTTATTGTAATTAAAATTCGGTGAATAAATATAAATATACACGTTAGAAAACTGTATATTACATGATTATTGATCCTATCCCTTGAAATACTGAACATAATCATCTAATACTATATGTGGAAATTTTAAATGAATCTTTGATGCTTCTTTTGAACGTATAAATACGGAAACATGCTACGCATGAAATCAATGAATCAGAAAAATGATAAAGTTCAAATTTCAGTATTAAATTTCGTATAATGTATAAACACGTAAACATTGAAATAAAGTAATTCTGTCCCTTAATTCACGTAAGACATTTCATCTTGTTAGTTACAAAAATACCATCGATTTTATTAGAAAATAATCCATTTATAACGAGAAATATTGTCGAGGAGAAAAGATTAAATCTTCAACGGAAATTTTCGAGTAATTATTCCAAAACACAGAATCAATAATAACCAAAATAAAATATGAAGAATGGCTGATTTGGTTAATCAAGCAATTAATTACCGTAGTTTCCGTCTTCGCCATTCTCGTGCCCCACGTGATGTCGTTCAAATTACTAATGGAGTATATAATGAGCAGCATGTACATTGAGGGCAGTGTTATGATGTATATCAAACTGCATGTGAAACAATATAGTTCCGCAGGGTGTAGTAATGCAGATATGAATAACTGGCTCAACATCAATATTAGAAACAACGCAGTGGGAGAAAACACCGTGCCATCCTGGATCACGTTTATCGCGATCCCGACAAAAACAGTGATCATTACCATGCTGTAGAACCCGGTTAATAATCCTGCCACGAATACCTGTTACACCGTCGTCATTATTAGAACTTTTACGATTTAACACGTTGACTGCCACGGCAGTCACCGATAACCGAAGCTTCCAAATTCCGTGGAAACAATTGCAATTAAAAACGTGAAGTCTATTAACTCTGCGGATAAAACTATAATCCGCATTATATAATATATAATTAGAAAGAAAAATGGATCTTCGTAATGATATTAATCTAAGAAATTAATGTAGTTCTCATTATGTCCCGAGCTTTTATACCATAAATACGTCGTATTTATATATTGCGTTAGTTTAAATAAAAACTGATTTATTATTCTACTGTAAAACCAATAATGTTGAATGAAAATATTTAACAACATAAGTAACTAGATAATAGGCTATCGTAGGAACTCTGGTACTAGATTATTAATAATTAATTCTAACGTTGTTCTTCTGTGACACAAAGGGATAAGTAATATTATAATGAACGATTAAAAGTTCCGTGGCATTCAACGTGTTGATGTTATTGATTGGTTTGGAAATAATAACATATCGAGGACTATAGATCACTCGTTAAAATAAATGATCCCACGGACTAGTGGTTTTGTTCTATTTCAAAGTGACAGATAAAGCTATAAATTCATTAGAATATTGAACTATTACGGTTGAAAGAGTACCATTTATTATTTAATAAAAAAATAATATTTATTTGTTTCTGTATACTTATCTAACTTTATTAAAAAGAAATCAAAGTTGGATAGTTAAATTTATTAATATAAATTTCAAACATGTTTTTGATTGTCCCAAATTTTTGGGACCTTCTCTATATATTAATAATAATATGTAAAATAAATTTATAGCTATAATCTGTAGAACACTGATTATTATGTAAAAATATCCTCGATATATCACTCCATATAATATTTTTGTTACAAAGAAAGCAAAATGTACATTTGCAGACGAAGAAACAGAATCCTGATATGCTCAAAAATCTGATGTGTTAATGGACTTAAAACATGCAGTACATTTTCAATTTCCCTCCTCAAGTAACCATGATCCTAGTAAATAACAAATTTTCTTTCTCCCGAAAATTCATTCAATTCATTTCCATCGTTCATGACACTAACGCACGCTAAATAAATAACAAAAATACATTCTTTATATTACTTTCATTTTTTAAATTTAAGATAAATAAATTATAGTATAGATAGATAATCTATAGATAATGAAAGAAAATGTACAATATTTCATAATTAAAAAAATATTGTATACTTTAAAAAAGCTTTCATTAATAAAATTATAATGTGCAGACAAACAGTCTATAGATAATGAAGGAGAACATGTGATATCTCAGATTTTAAAAAGTATTATTCTCCATTTCCAAAAAATAAAAGAAGTATTTAAAAAACCACACTATTTATGACCCAATACCACCGAGTCGTCTTAATTACACCTTAATCCGTAGGTTACCCAACGAAGTTCACCAATTAAACAGAATTTCCATAAATGATAGCGAAGCGAAGCAAAAACCAAGGGTAGGAAAAGTTATCACGAACGAACCATTGCAAACAAACAAACAAACCTTTTTCGTCTTTTTCACTTGAACCTCACGGGTGCCCCACGAGACGACGTTCAAATTGATAATCGAGTAGAGGATAAGGAGAAGATACATCGAAGGAATTGAGAGTAGGTAAATAATGCCGGGCACGACACACCAAAATTCTTGCGGATGCAAACAGGCTGCTATAAAGAACGAACTGGATAATGATATCAAGAATATGGCCGACGGTGATCCGATACCGTCCTCTCCGAGCTGGAGAGCAGTACCCACGATCACGGCCATCATTATCATCGCGTACCCTGTAGACAATATTTGTGCGCACAGAAGCTGAAAGACAATGACATCGCACATAGTATCACAAGACGAAACACGAATACGAATAAAATCGTTCGGATCGACTTACCTGAATGCTTGCCTTACACGTGAAACATACGAGCATAAAGAGGAGGATGGGGATGATATTATAGTAGAAGCTGGTCCAGTTATCGATCTTGAAGGCAGCCACGAAGGCACCCACCAACATAAGGAAAATCGTGCCTGGTCCCAAAATTGTGCCGCCTGTGACCAAGAAGGAAATTTAACGTTTCGAAGAGATATATTTGAAGGTCTTAATGGTACTTTTTTATGTAAATTAAAGCTAAGTAAAACGGTAAATGTAAATTAGACTTGAAAATGAATTACGAAATTATCTTTCCGTGAGAGTAGCAGAGGGGAAGTTTTCATAAGAAAAAAATGTATTGGTAGTGAAATTTGAAGAATTGTTTTAGGAGATCAGTTTCGAATTTTTTACTTGTATTGTTTAATAAGTAAGATTCTGGTGGATAATCGAATAAGGAAACGCAGAGAAATTGGAGGATATAGACGAATACATAATCAATATTCCATTTACCCATGAGCAGAATTTGGTAAGAAATATAGGGAAGAGAAATGTTATCGTTAATTTTAATCGTTCGTTTTGCGTCCATCAGAAGATCCATGATATTGGCTATAGTAGAAGGCACCCATCGCCGACGCTGATTGTAGAACTCGTTGAACCCTTCGGGCGCGTGAGTGTAAGCATCGCTGGCCGCAGAATACTCGACCTTTAATGTTCATTGAGAAATAGTGAAACCTTATGCGATATAAATTCGTAAAGAAAAATTTCGTTTGCACGAAAGAAACAATTTTTTAGTATTATTATCCATCTTTTGCGTCTGGTTAATCCTCTTTAAAAAACAACAACAATTTATTTGCATTTGATTGCAAAAACTATTTAAAAATTGATTGTAAACGGTATTCGCTTGGAGTATGGCTTTAATATCTCCACAGATCATTTTCATTCGGTTACTTTTATCGATCTTCGATTTCTTCTGAGAAGTGAATCAAACATATTTACGTTACTTTAACGATACTTCCTCCTTTTTATTGGTTGCTCTTAATCTCATTGTAAATACTCCTTGGAGCTTGTAACGTCTTTCAAAGTACTTACTCTGTAACCTCGTTGCAGCAGTAACGTACAAAGCCATCGATCCTCCCCTTGATCGTATTGAACATAATGTCTTGCCTCTTCGGATCTGGTGGTGTACTTCTTCATCACGTTATCATCCATCAGAGCTTTCCCTCTGAAGAGCGAGAAGCAACCAGGGCTACAAAGCACACAACCGATCATGTGTTCGGTCGCCTTTTGCAGCCAATGACCAATAGCGTATTCGAACATCTGATACCACACCATAGGACCTTACAAAATAAACAGAAAAAAAGAATAATAAATTTTGAAATATATAAGTTTTTCACTAATAACATAATAGTGTAGTAAATGTTACGAGGCAGTAAAGAAAAATACATTTAACATTAGAAATATTAAATAAATGATTTCTCCTTCATATTTCGATTGTGTATCATTGATATACAACAACATATAATTTTCAAACGTATCATTATGAAGAAGCAAATGCTTTTTAACAAAGATATTTCAGTTTCAAAATTTAGTTATCATAGTTTATTCCCGTTCAGAGTAGTCTCCAAAATTTTTTAAAAATATTTTAAATGTTCCTTTAAAGCTCGACTGAGTCCTGTAAATCCTCGAAGCTACGTGGACTTCTGTTAAGCCCGATTCGAAAGAAGTTCTTCTATTTATGGCTTCACTGAGTTTATTGCCTCCCTCTATCGTCCTCGTTAATTGTAAAGTATCTATTGATGTTTCTGTTTTTTTCTTCGCAAGACTAACCTGAACCGACCGGATGAATACGACCGCAGGCTGCGCCGAGGTTTTTATTCTTCTTCATCAAATCCACGAGCAGCTTCACGGCAGCTGGCTGGAAGTCGATATCACCGTCGAGAGTTAGCAAATAAGTATTCTCCGCGATCACTTCTTTGCGATCCACGCTGATTGGTAACTCCATCAATCGGTGTCCGAGCAAGTAATACATGTACATGACCTGAAAAATGAAAACATTCAGGTTGAGACATGCTGGTCGTCTCAGAACATTTTCAGAAATAAAATAATTCCTTGTGTTTCGGCTTAAGAATCGATGCATTCGTAGTAAAATATTTCTAATCGCACAAAGGCACTTGTATGTTGCAATTTCTCAATCAACCAGTTAACTGCGTTTGACGAGTATACACGCCATTTTAAAAATCTAAATGGTGCTTACTTTCTTAACGATTCATTTGTTTAGACAAACATGTAATTCTTTTTCGTTCCGCTTCAGTATTTCGTTAGAATATATTATCAGCGCATTTGGCTTGCGCTTAACGAGTATACACTTCATTATTTGATTTTATTGCGCACACGATAAGAAACTTTTTAAACTAAATTCCGCACTTAACAGGTTAAATTTACCTAGGATATTAAATAGTGCATTTAATAATTATTTGAATAATAACACTGTTGCTGAAACTTTCTACACCGTAGAATAAAAATAAAATTATTGCTCCTATACCTGTTTAATTTACTGCTAACATGGTTCAAAACGATTCTCTATTCCTTCGTTCTTTTTTCCAAATAAAACTATCAGCAAAAGTGTTGAACTTTTATTCAACTTCTAAGCCACGAAGTAGTTCATCATCTTGTGAATTTTCATACCTATCCAAGGTCTATGTATTCACGAACATGTGCCAAATTTCACGAAGTCATGAAGTTTCTTCGCCTGTTGAAATAAAGAAATAAGAAATGTCTCACCTGGCTCCAACGTTTCCTGTGACGAATTTTGCTCTTGTCTTTCAAATGAGCGATCATCTTCGTTTTCCCGGGAAGCGTCCAAACGAGACGTCCGCCGTAAGGGGTTGGATATTTCTTCGGTGCTCTGACGTGCATCCTCGTCTGATGAACGTCCGACGCAGCCTCGTCCAAAGTTCCCACTAGCAACTTAACGAACCTGTTCACCTGCGACTCGTTCTCGTTGTGATCCGCCAACTCGAATGCGTCGTCGAAAAATATGTGCGCTGAAGAGAAAAATTAATTCACGTCACATACACGTACAAAAATATTCTTTGTTTTCGAACGAACGAAAAAACAGATGTCATCGTACAGTTTCACATTGATGAACCCTGATACGCAAAAGACTTGCAATCCGAAGAAAATTATGTGACGTTGTTATTAAATAAAGTAAGTCGGGAAGAAATAGCTTACTGTTTAAAAGAATTTTCACATCATAAATACCATTAACACAGAACGAGAAAAATATATTTGTGAAAGTAAATACATATAAAGTTAAGTAGGCCTCTGTGCAAGATACAGTATACCACTAAAAACAATTGAAAATATAGATTGAATCACAATTCTCGTTCGATTAAAGAATTTTTCCTTAATATATAATGCTACAATAAAATATGCTCACGGAAATGTTCGATCCAATTAAAATTAAATTTATGTCAATGTCTTCTTTGATACTGCGAAAATATGTGTCTCGCCTAAGAAATATTCAATGTTTTTTTTTTACATAATTGCTGTTTCTTTGTTCCCTTGAAATAAAAGTATACATGTTATTTGAAGAATATGGGCAACTCACTTTCGAATTCATAGTAGTCCGGATCAACAACCTTCAAATATTTTTGGGCTACGCGTCTGGCACATTGATCCTCGTCCAAACGCAAAATACTCTTCAAGAACTCCATCATTTCTTCCTTGTTCTCATGCCACATTGTCGCGCAGGCATAGATTCTAGTTACGTGATCGCTGCTTTTTACAGCCGACGGGGGTGTAGTTGTGCCGTCCGTTTGCTCGTATATGGTCTCGTAATCTCCATCTCCTTTTTCCTTCTCTATCTCAGCTAGATCCTACTCGGAAAGACACAATTTACGTTTTTGTATATACGAACGCGCATTACTCGAACAATCGCTATCATACGCCGACTTATCTCCGGCAAATGTAATTTCGTATTTAATTTTCCACGATTCGAATGAAGTTTTCGTTTCGGAACCTTTCCCACGCATCATATTTCTTTTAGAAGACTAGTATATTTATTTGCAATCGAAATTAACACTAATAAAATAGTGCTAAATAGTGATTATTCTTAGTGGAAACAAAAACAAAAAGAAAGATAAATTTTACTTTAAATAATAAAAGTTAAACAAATATAAAAACTGTATTCTCCATTTTATCTTTCGCTACCAATTTTTATACTAACAAATAAGAATGAAGAAAATTTCTAACACATATAAAATTATACAGTGAAAGTGTTTTTATAGAAAAATAGCTTAGGCTTGACGTACAACGATGATGGATCTAAATTGAACGTAATTTTAATACAACAGTATTCCACTTGTACCATGAAATTCTTCATTCTTTAGATATCATTTCAATGTATAAATTCCGGTAAATTTGAAATAATCATGGTTTCCATTTTCAAACAATGAAATCTATGTACCTCAACTTTCACTTCCGGCTGATCATCCCGTTTCCTATTCAGACCCATCGACTGATCGATCAACAGGGAGTCGTACATGGGCACGACGAAGAGCTTCTCCGTGGCAGCCAGACGTTCGCATTTCGGTGTCCACACGTGCAGGGTGATCCATGTTTGTGACAGCAGCCAAAGCAGCCATACCCAGGCGTATTGCTTCGACACAAAATCATTGAGGAAATACAAAGGCGGCGACTCGTAGAAAAGGTAATCCGGTATCGTGCCGTGGAAGATGCAAGGGTCGCCGTTCCTCAAGCCGCAGGCAGCGATCAACAATGAGATCGACACCGGTATCGTCAGGTTAACAGGAAACGCGTAACTGAACCCTTGTATCAAGATCTTGCAAGCGAATTTCCCTAGAGATTGTAAAATAATCTTGTAACGGTGTGTTCATTTTTATATATAAATCATCGTAATCATTTTTGTGTATAAATTCAGTAACACGTTGGCTATTACAATTATCGCCGATGATAGGAGCTTCCGAATAACTTGAGAACAATTGTAATAAGGAAATTGATGTCAAATAAAAATATTTAGCAGCACAAGTAACTAAATAATAGTGTAACATGAGTACTTTGATAGCAAATCATTAATAATTATTTTTAATATCATTTGCCTTTCTTATAAAAAAAATAAGTATTATTACGGAAAATGTTCGAAATTCTCGTAACATTTTCTTCTATAAAGATATAGGGATGTTATGCTACTCTCACACTAAAAAGAGAGAGATTTATGAGACACGAATAAAAACATATGATCTAGTTTAATTAGAAAATATAACTAAACTGATAAATAAATTTTTTCTCTACGATAAGTATCTAGGATTTTCATATTCTTATACCGTAGTTGTTTTTACGTCGTGGAGTTAATTTTGAGAATATTATGCATGTTTAACAAGCTGCTTAATAATATGTTATACGATTTAGATATATTTACCGAAAATATAAGCGAAGTAAGCGCCAAATATTTGTAACAGTAACACATAGATTGGAGTGTTCGCATCAGCTGGTATTTGGATCTTTTCACCAATTTCGATTACGTCCGCAATGTCCGTGATCCGATTGGATGAATCCAGTCGTACTTCCGATACAGAGATCTGATGGTTCCCGAAAGCGCTGCTTAGCATCGTGAACAAATGACCCACGGTCTCGCCTTTCATATGTAGTATCAATAGAGTGCTGATAAGGAAAGCCATGATCTTCCAAACGGACATGAACATGTAGGTAAAGTATCGAGTGAGTCTCATTTCCTTTTTCACCCTTCCTAGCGACCGAACAAATCCTGAAAAGAATGGTACAATTTACAGTAACTGATCACCGTTAAGACCTCGCCAGTTAACAAAAACGGGGAACGAATATTCTTGAAATTATAAATAAACAAAATATCCTAAGAACAGAAGACGTATTCTAGCTTTCATTCTTTTGAAATTGATGTTTTTTTTGCACTTTTTATAATTTTCTAGAGCTGCATTGTATTATGAAAATATCAATATTAATAGTAGAATCATCTGCAAGAAGATTCCTAAATATATTTAATTTAATGTTTAATTTTATTTCAGATGTTTGTCCTTCAAGCATTCAACCGTAGTATTTTATAATAGAAAACGTACGCGCATCACAACGTTTTGCCTTAATTCCACAAAAGTAAGTCCCTAATGAAACTAGCGCGACGTCGCAAGGAAAAACTGAGCTACTGGAGGGAAAGAATGGAAATAAACGTCTAAAATCTTTCAGAGTAATTTATAGTACTTTCAACGTTCAGTTCCTCCGAACTTATTGAAGTTTGGAATTGTATAGGTTCCGGAAAAATAATAGTTCCATAACTTCTTTACGACTTCTTTCCCCGACATGAGCGTTCGCTTAGGCGTTTTATCAACGGTCCAGCAGACAATAGTTACGTTTTCACGATCATTTTTATCGATACAATATTACTTACCGATAGGACTTTGCATGGAAACATAATTTTCCCACCATCCGCAGGAGACCAGGAACAATGCCGGCGCTATGAGCCACAAAGATGGTCGGGAACTATCCAATAATGGCCAAAGGAAAAAACTTGTTCCTTGAGCAGCCAACGCTGCGATATCGATCAGCACCAGGACAAATCTCTTCGACTCGTCTTTGTTTTTGTTGCGAGAGAGAAGCCCTGTATAAGAACCGAATTTATAGCTTAATGCTATACCCTAATCGTGATACGATGATCGTGTTCAATTTTCTTCATTTATATGAATCGCTACTTTGTTTTAAATTTGAAATTTACTTTCTCTAAATTCATTCTAATTTGACAAAATGTTAAGTAGTTGTAATGAATAAACGTAAGAAAATGATTTATTTGTTGATAAATAAACATGTGATTTGTTTTCGAATAAATGATTTTAATTTAATCAGCATAAAGTCATGTATACTCCTTCATGATGTGTTTTTAATTATTCTTAGATTTACAATGACTATGTACCGGTATAGCTAGAATAAATACCGAAACAATACAATAACCCTTCTTCTATAACCTATTTTCTGCGTGAGCATAACAATGTCCGGAATATGCACGTGGGCGTCATTCATTTTGGAATTCATTTTTCTGGTTAATTAAGTTTTGCATAATACAAATTATTTTGTTTTATTTCCGCCCTACACCAAAGGTGCCTCGAGAGTAAATTCTTCTTCCAGAATGTTGAACTGTAATAATTTCTTTTTCTAGACAATTATAAGCAATGAAATAATTAAATCGAGCATGGTTATAAAAGAAATCATAGAACAAAGGATTAATACAAACTACACTATCCATTAACCTATCACGAATAATCATTTTTTAACAACTATTCAGTCTTCAGTATAGAAAGCTAAATTCTACATCGAACTCTGAAATGCCAGAAAAAAAGAAACCCACGTTCCGATCTTCTATTACTTGAATAATTAAATTATCCGTGTACTTCGTGTTCCAAATATAAAAGTCTAATCTCAAAATAATGACGTCCATCCTGAAAGGGTTAAACGCGCGTTACTATTACCATTCTTCATTTGACATACATTTCATTTCCGCCATTTGCGGAATAAGTTATTCCCGACGATAGCGCGATTTGAGATAAGTGACGAAGCGACTAATGTTTTAATTATCAACGAGTAGCCATGCCTTACCTAGCAGTCCGGGTACGAAGCACACACAGTTCGTCAGCATCGCACCTTTGACGACGTCCAAATCGGGTAACACTGCCATAAACATTAAAGCCAGGCCAACCACGTGAAAGGTCTCCATGAGAAAAACGAGGAGGAAATGCGAGGCCGGTGGTTTCTTCCACGACTTGAAGATGCATATCCGAATGCTGCGGATCAAAGTGCCGAACTCCGGCACCGCGAACGCTATTATGATGCACCAGATCCACGCTATCCTCTCCTCCTCCGGTAACGACACTACGAATTGCTTGTCCCGGCCTGTTCATGAAAACAGCAAATCGATCTTTCATAGGTTACTTTGCTAAGCGTGAAAACCAATGTTGTTTTTCATTAAAAATTAGTGTTACTAATTTTATATGTTACATATTAAACGTATGTTTTAGCCGTTTAAGATTGAGCATTTTTCTAGAACCGACGGTCGAATGGTCGATATAATGCCAACCTGTTTTCACGTGTACTTTCTCTCGTTTGCTTCCACCATGAAGCACACGCGTTCACGGCAAAAGTACTTCATCGTAACTATGTTACGAGCGCGATCCATTTTTAACGTTACACTACAGGGGTTTGAATAGTTCGTTTTAAGTATAGGAAATATATAATGCAATGCTGTCCGATTCGCGCGTGAAATCTCTTGTACGTCTCAAACTTATGTCTCGATTGTACTACAAAATTGTTGATAATTCATAAGTGGAGCGCGGTTTAACTTTCCAACAGATGTTACGGATTCATTATAAAGTTTCTCTTTCTGTAAAATGAGCGATTCGAGTATGTTTACTAAGCAAGTTACGCGAAACGTCTTCCTGTGGCGTGTTTTATCGTTCTTTTTCTGTTTACTTAATTATACTTTTTTATTATTTCATCTGTATTAGATGTTTTCGATGAAACGTTTGTTTTCTCCTTTTACCTACCTTTTACTTTGCTAGCTGAATCTATTTATTGTTGTAATGCAAGTAGACTGACAATTGTATTTTAAGTGTTTCATCTGAACGGTACACGAATGTTTGGATTATTGGATGTTGAGTTATTATCAGATTAGTAGATAGTTATGTGCTGTACATGAAGCTATTAACCTTTTGCGGTCGAATGTCGCTGTAATAACGACTTCGACTGTCACATCTAAAATCGTTAACTGCGAATGAATAATTCAATTATTTAAATAATAGAAGAATAATAAAAAATAATTTTCTTTTGTTCTGATCTTCAAGATATCGATACACAATTTAATCTTTTATGAAAAGAGCTTTTAAAGATTTAAAAAATTCTCGTCCGCGAAGGGTTAATATTTACTTAAAGAAATATTAGCTTCATAGTATATTAATGTATACTTCATAGTAAAAAATTCCATCAACAACTCACCTAATTGCCTATTGCAGTAACCAATCGCTCTGTCAGATCTGAGCTGCGACGTCATGAATAAAATTGTTCCTTTGGCAACTGCACCGCTACCTAGCACTATCACAAATACGAAGAGGTAAACAATGACTTTCGTGATCTGTACCGTCGCCTCGAGGCATCTTTGATTCGCCATCGAACCGGAATCGATTTTAGGTGGTGGATTCCGGAACACGTCCCATCCTTTTGTTTCCACCACGGTTCTTTGACTGTAAATGAACAATTCAAGTCGGAGTACGAGATTTGAAATAATACTTTAATTACGTGATATTCAATTAAAGATTATTCCCGTGAGATTGCAATCCATTCCAAAACAACATTATTAAACAATAGTTTAATATAAAGATATTTTAATTAATTATTCCAAAGAATGATACTTTCAATTGAATGTTAAACCCAGTGGTATGAAAGTAAAAAATACAATTTACAACTTGATTCGTGTGAGCCAAGTTACATTGAACTTCTATTAGATGCTAATCGAAGAAGATATCATCACCTTTGTCATCTACCTCAACAATACTCGTATTAATTAACCTTTCAAAAATTACGACAAAATGAATTCAACTGAAAGAGAACACGACGAATTTCTTAAGCAGTTATCTGGAAACTACATTTCTGTTTAATCATACAATTTAAATAAATTATTATTATTAAATATTACGATGTGCGAGAAACCACGACGTAATATGTAATCGTTCGCAGATAAAAATTTGGATTATTCAAAAAAAAGAATGGTACAGGTATAGCTATAGCTTATAGATTCAAATAATGCTTGCGACTTATTGTGGAATGCAAGTGTGTTTGCGCGTTACAAAGAGCGACCACAACTTTTGCCTTTCTTATTTGAAAACGGCAAACAGCCGCTCAATGTTTGCGAATTCCAAAGTTTCTTTACAAGAATACTAACCTGTCGCCATAATCCTGAGTCAAAGGGGTACTCTCGCCATCCGAGAAATCGTCGGCACCACCAACCGTTCCACCTCCTGGTAGCATCCCATTTTGTGGTTGATTTTTCGACATTCTGCCCAATTAAAAGTTACCAAACAATTATTTAAATATTTATTTGTTTCGCGGTAAAAAAAATATTGTACAAATACAATACAAATTCACATTCTTATCTACCAATAAAGAAACGAAAAGAGAAAACAGAAAATTACCATTAGCGCCAATAATCTTATTAGTTAAAATCGAAAGTATATTCTATATTGAATTTACATCAAACGTTTTATCCTATTTGATTTACGTTTATCAGCTTTCAGTGAGTTATTATTCATATCCGACCAATATAGATATTTTCAAATAACGAATACTAATAAATGGAAATAACGAAAATAGGTAATGAACGCTTCATTGCGAGTGCATAAATAACTAAGGACACAGTTATTAGATAAAATACCTTAATGCTGTAACATGCAATAAAACCGAATTTCTAAAACCATGGTGAAGTGGAACGAATTCGTTCCATCGGCCATGCGATTAAGGAGAAAGTTAGGTAACGCGAAGAGAACGTGATCGCGAACATATGGCGGTGAAACAATCGAAACAAGAACCGTTTCTACGCGAGATGGACGAATTACCGCATTTCTCCGCGATCGACGGTGACGTTGCTAAACGGGCGTAAAACTGTTCTGCTCGAAATCAACTTCACCGGTGAGCCGAACGCAGCGGATCGGTCGGCGATCAGCTTTCTACATTTGTCACTGATTATGCCTGGCCGCGCGACTGGTTTCCGTAGGATAACTACCATCGTCCTTTTCGTCGAAAAAATTTACGTCGCCCGGTCGTCAGTTGCACCATTGCTTGCGAAATCTGCTCGTTAAATTAATTACTGATTCATCGGAACTGGCACGAACGGCCGGCCACGGCAGCAAAACGAGTTGCCTTCAAACAATTTCACACTCGCGTGTGGGTAGCTCTGAAATTGCCTAGAATTTTAATGCTTCAGATAATTCGGCTTACGTAACTGCATTTTCCTGTATTATCACTTTCGATTCACATTCAATTCCTATACACCTATAATCTCAAACCAAAGCTTCACAGTATAATACTCCTACATTCAAAAGCAAACGAAAATTACCAACAACCGCAATCAGGCACAAACCTTCATCATTTTAGCTCCCAAAATCTATGCAACCATTACGTATTACCATACTGCGCAGTTCTATATTCCTGTCAAGACAAAGACTAAACTAAACACGGAATCAGCCTGCCTTCGTTGAGCCGTGTCAAAATCGCAGTACCGTAGTTGACCTATGCACGCGTCCAGTAATCAAACATCCTCGATCGAAAATCAAGTAGTCCCCGCGACGATTGACAAATCTACCTACCCTGCCACCCTTGGTGTTTAATTAGCAGAACCCTGCCAGAAGGTAGCAGCTATTAAAAGGAGAAGTAGGGCAGAATGCGGTGAGGGGAGAGACGGGGGCGGTAGGAGACGGAGGCGTGTATCTTTGTTCGTGGAGGTCTGGGCTTTCTGGTTCCTGGACACTGAAAGTGAAAGGGAACGAACAGTGAAAGATAACGTAGCAAGGACGTCCACTGCAACTCGCCGTGTCGGTTGCTGCCCTCGAGGCACGTCACGGATTCGTTCGTGCCGGGTTCACCCCCTCGCTCGCCGACACCTCCTCCTCCTCCACCTCTTCGTCCTCCTCTCGCGGTACAGCGCCGCTCCCTCCCTCTTGCCTTACCCTCCTTTGTCTCCAGTACACGATGTTTTCCACGAGTTTCAGGGTTACTGATCAGACTACGGTAATGAATTCAAACGTTTCGTCCAAGGGCTCCCTGCCAGGTTCCTCCGTGTTCCTTTTTTCACCCGGCCGAGGAATTCAGCGGTAAACGCCGCGCACCGTCGGGCCAATGTCGATCACCGAACAACCAAACCAGATTCTAGAGATTCCACCGGTTTCTTTCTTCCTACCTCTGTTCCCTTCTATCCTGCTCGCGAAGGATAACGCCTCCTCCTTTCCTTCGATACGGTTTCTTGGCCGTTTCTTTGGACCGGCCGGACTTCGCTCAAGGCACTCCCGGAATTAGTTTTTGCACGATTTAAATGCGGCGAACGGTGTATTCTTACGCAATTTCATTCAATATCTTGCTTTGGAGCATCGTTTCATACGACGTTTAGAGTAATAGGTTTATTTCGGTTTTCAGTCTCTGTGTGAACGATTATGATGATTGTAAGATGTATTTGCTTTTTGTGTAACTGCGCAGTTTATGGTTGTGGATAATGGTAAGTGATGTGGTAATCATTTATTTTTTATGTATTTTGTATGTATGTAGTTGACGTATCATGTACACGCGTGTTCGTTTATAATCATTCATTTCATTCATAATGTCGTTTTTCTTAGATTTCTCTTTTTATCATGTTCACTCGTGGCGATAAGAATCTTTCTATCATTGATTACAGGATATTGTTATAGAACTAGGACAAATTGTATTTCAATTTTTCTTGCTCGAGAATTTTCATTTATCCTTATTGTATTTATTTAATTCTTCTCGTCGATTGTTTGCGATTTCATCAGTTGCAATTCCATTGACAATTAATTTTCCATCAATTTCGTCGCGAGTGAAAAAACTGTGCTGCGGTTAATATTGAATTCGCGTGCTCGAATAATCACGTCGTTACACAACGTATAAAATCGAGCCACTACGCTCCGGTTCACATTCACTTCTTCGTTTTCCCGACTTAGAAAATAGAAACTGTCGAGTTTCCGTGTGAAGCAGCTCTCTCGCTACGCGACGACGACATTTCTTCAGCGTGGCGAACGCGCCACCATCACGGATACAAAGAAATCGATTTTGGCTGACTGGAGACAAGTAGTTTGAATAGAACTGCAAACAACACTTGTGCATCGAAAAACACACTATGAATACGTGTTACTGGAGTCATTGCAACCTTCTCATATTGAACAACTTTCTTGTACATTTCTATAGAATGTACAGGAATTCTTGTAAAAAATATTGTTATATTGTTTGCTATTTAGAATTTAAAATGGAAACCATTTTTCATTGACTATCTATCGACACATTTGTTGCATTCATTTTGTTTCCATTGAAAAATACTTAACATTAAACGTACCGCGACCGGTTTTAGAATTTGATTCGAAATTCTGCATTTCCTTTGTTCCATTTAACTTTATATCAGTTTTTATATTGCCCAATTAATCAGCTTTCAATTTTTCTTTCCTTTTCTTTCTGTTTGCACTGAGAAAAACTTATCGTTTAATTTGTTTACCTTATTTTATAAACAGTTATTTGACTGGTTACGGTAAGAATGGGTACATATAATATATATACATATGGGTATATGCAATATATAAAGTTCTTATACATTTAGAGTTAAAATATATGAAATACTTACTGTATGCTTGAAATAATTCACATTTGCGCATTATCGTTTTATGATAGTAAATCGTGTATTATATACTTGAAACTCTAGGCTCATTTAGAATTTTCAGTTATCAGAATTATGTCAAATGTAATATCAAACTTTTAATTTTAAAGATATCAACATAGAAACGCAAATATGGAACGCAATAAAATAATTCTACCCCTTACTCTGTACAAGATTTCTCTTGATGCTAGTTGCAAATAATACTTTCAATATTCCATCAGAAAATAACGAATATTTCCAATGAAGAACAGTGTCGAGTGAAAATGGTTATATTTTACCATTTTATAATGATCTCCCGATTCGTTTCCAATACCGAAGCGCCAAGTGATCGTCCTTGGCGCGGCGGAGCATTGTCACGACTCTCGCGGAAGATTCGTAAAAATACAAGGGAAACGTTTACACCGAGGCGTATCAAGCCCCGAATGGTCCATTCTTTTCCTGTTTTATTTCGATCATAAGCGACACTCGCATGCATAAACGTCACCGGCACAGCTGCAGAATACCTTCGTCCCGCGCGGTTCACCGTTTGCATGTTTCTACTCCCTAGGCTACCACATTTCGTCGTCTTAAGGCCGTTGTCCTATGAGTCATTGTCCACCATGGAATTACTTGCCCACCTCTCTATATTTTAACCCTTTCGCGGTTCAGCGTACCTGGCTTGTTTCGCGTTTACTTATCTGCTTGACATATTTAACGAGGAATTCAGTCGGCGTGCATTTCACGGCGTTCGGATTTTTCGCCCAGCGGATAAGGAAACGTAAAGTACATATGCGTGGTACACCGCCGCAATGGCGGATGAAAGCGACGATGTAATATAAATAATGTGTTATGAGTTACAAACTAAAATGGTGGAACCCTGAAATCTATTATCGGTAGAGGCAAACAGGATAAGTAACTTTTGACAATAACACCAAATGACGAAACGTGAAAGTTATTTACAAATAAATTTATATCGCATAATGTGTGCAAATATTTGCATCGGGTTAAATTACTTTGGAATAATTATTGAACGATTTGTAATATGATTTCCGTGTAATCAAATGTGTTATAACGTCGTGCTTTCAACGGATTACGCACGCATATTCGTGTAAGATTTTAAATTTCCAATTACCGGTAAAACTAATATGGAGAACAAATATTTGATTTCAATTGTAACGCTTGCTATATGCATAGGTAGATGTAATATTTACATTTTCCAATGCAGAAGCGTTTATTCCATTTCTCGGCGGTTCTGATAATTCCGTTTCCTTTTCTAAGAAGTTATTAATTATATTTACTGCTATTTTATTTTATTTACAACAGAAATTGATATGAATTTTTTGTTCATCGTCTAGATATATTTATAATGCAACTGAATTGTATCAACATCGGGCAACTATTCACATTTGAATCGAATAAAATAATATTATAATTGTATATTGTATATAAAATACTAACATTAATCGCTAACGGAAAGAATACTTTATAAAAGTATATCGGTGTCACTGACGAATTTAGAAGTCGGATCAGAAAAGTAGGATAGACCGTACGTAACAGTTTTCACCGATTTCACGGCATAATATCACAAATATTTCGTTCCCATTAAATTCCGTCGACCAAACTTTTTCCTCGTCGTTCTTATTTCACCT